ATTACCACTACATTACTACCATTTGCATTTCATCATCTTAACTTCATTCCCATAAGACCATTTACATCTCCAGGATGTTCTTCCCCAAATCCCTCCATTTCCTTTTATTTCTCCTTTCCTGCCCCTCCCTCTCCTCATCACAGAAAAAGCAGTCACGGTGCCAATACACAGCCTCTGGTATGCGGCAAGTTTCCGCTCTCTGCCAAGCTATTCCACACATTAAATTCTGAGGTGAAAATACTTTCCTAAGATTTCACTTCTATTCAGTCTTTGTAAATGACCCCAAAGCATAACAGTTCTTCTCATGACATTATTTCCACATACCTCATCATGAGTCACACGCAAAAAAATTCACTGCTTGACCACCAATAAAGACATAGTCTTTACTAGAAACATGACTGATGATGAGATATGAGAACGCAAAACTCCAGCTTAGCTGCTTGCATACTGAAAACATTATTCATTTAGTAACATACAAGTGTAGCAGGATAAATGGATCTGTAAGATAAGGAGAAAATAACACATTGATTAACTTTTCTGAGGTGGTGGTCTCCTGATTATTTAAGGACAACCAACCTCTCCACACGTAAAAGCCTGGACTCAACCAGATTCAATAAAGCTAAAGAAACCATGTGGTACCTCAGCTTACTAAGTGTTCTGTTCTTTGTCCCTTTAAGACAAAATAAATAGAAGTTTCTAATAATATTAATTGGACTGCTGTATGGAGCATGCCTTAATCTTCCTCAGTTTTAGAAGACGACGAATGAGTTAAATGCTCTAACCAGTGAAACAAGAAGTAAGCAGGCCAATTCAAAGGCTTGTTAGCTCGTACTCAGGGACACAGAGCGGGTGGGATGAGTGTTTTACCTGGGATTTTTGGTTAGATTTTAAAGTCTCAAAATAATGAGGGTCATCCCACTCTGGGCATGGCCTCCAGTCATCTCTCACTTCCAAAGAGTGAAGAATCTCTTAGGATTCTTGATGCACCTAGAAGATGCCTGGAAGAGACCCAGCAGCTATAGGAACAGCACGAAAACCAGCAGATTGATTAACAGCAGGAAGCCCTATTATACAAGCTCACACAGAAGCAATACTCCAGCACTGGTCCCTCCCAGACTGAAGAATTTTGGCTATTGATCTCCAAGTTACAGAAGATGTAGTAAAGTCTGTGGTGCAATACACAGACTTCTTATGATTTGCTGTTCAACTCTAGCTCTCTAGAAATTGCCACCCATTGCAGAAAAGCTTTGTGAGAACGGGTTGACCTGTCATGAGTGACTCATTTAGGTACACCTGGAAAACTACCCAGCCAGTTAACGTTCCAACACAGATGGTAGCGATGGGTCAGCTCCTAGAGACACCTCTGAATAAGCAGCACTACAACAGTCTCCTGGCAGGAGGCTCCTGTAGCCAGCACACAGTTGCAACATCCACTGAAAAGGACCATTTAGAGGCTAAACTGGAAACAGGCAACAAAAGCTCTCTAAAAATGAGTCACTGAACTTTGCTGTAAGAAATGCAAACATATCAGTTACTTATGAAGTTTTACGAAGTCTAGATTCACAAGGATTTCTCAAGATGAAGCACTTCTAAATACTGACAACTTCTACATGCCTGTGAGGAGGGTGAAGAACAGTTAGGGTCAGTAAACTGAGGAGCTCCCAAACCTCTAGAAGGTTTCTAATGGGGAGGAATGGAATTACTGACTTACCTAGCTTTTTCATGTGCCCAGAGACACACCAACTCGCTCACAGCTCTTTAGGAAACCCTCAGCAAAAGGAAGTGACATAGAGTAACACGGACTGGTATAACCAGCCAGTTCCCTCCACTTTCTTACAGGACTGATAGTCTTGAAGTTGTATGTCCTTAAGCAAAGCCAAGTAGCTACATAAATTACCATCAGCAAGGCTAGAAAACCAAAGGTGCTATTCAGGCTGAACCAAGAACTCAGCACTCACTTCAGAGTGGGTGAGGCTCCTTGTAAAAAGCTCTGAAATTAGGCAAATATGATTCATGTTTGGCTTGTAGCTTCCAGGCATAGAGTTTCTAAGTGTATTTGTTGTTAAATAAATACAGACACCAAGTTCAAGACACAGTACCACAAAGCTGTTAGATTATTTGTTCTCCTGAATTATGTATTACCTCTGCTCAGTATGCAATTTTTTTAACGCAAGTACTTCACAAAGCCCCAAATTCCGATGTCATTATGCCATATGGACAACCTTCTCCAACTGTCTGCTCCTCATGGAAATTCTATTTGTTTTCCTATTGATTTTATTATGTTTAACAGCATACTAAATCATTCCTGAGGTTGACAAGTTTCTGGAAAATTGATATATGCTGTCTAAAACCGCCTGAGGCAGGAATAAAACCAAAACAAATGGCTTCTTTTAAACTCTTGATTTGCATTACTACAGCCAGGCATACAAGTGCCATCTTGTTTGGTAGAAGAATTCTTCTCCTTTGTGTAACATCTAAAGCACAGGAAATCTTTAGAAGCTCTTCTTATGGGTCTACATCTTGGAGGAAGGCAATTGCAAAATACCAGACTATTTGAGTGAGGGTAGGACTATAAAAGAAGATTGTCAGCTAAGATCAATGGACTGGATTCTCTTGTGGAGAGGTGGAACGCTGAGTAGATGCCTTGGAATCTACAGCTTAAGGCAAAAGTAGAATTTTTAGTGAGACTTAAAGATTCATGATTTAATTCTTCCCCTGAGAAACTGTACTTTGAAGTATTTTAGTAAGAGCGGGATGAAGCAGGGGTTTGGTTTTTGTCTGTTTTAAACCTTGGAGACATCACCATTAAGCACTACAGTATTTGTTCCAAAGACTGGACTGCACCATGAAGAGCATCTCAAATGGGAAAAAGCACCAAACCAGTTATGTTTTCTTGTTTCAGAAACAAAAAGGGGGACATGGATTAGAGAAAATAGTCTTGATGCTTTGATGTCAGAAACCTAAAAATTCAAGAAGAAAATTGATGAAAAAGAAATAATTTTAAAATCTCCAGACAAGGATCTGACAAAAACTAAGAAGGTCACACAAACACTGATTAAACCTTGTTAGAGTCCCATTAGGCTGCTATAAGAAAAAAAGAAGAACTTGCAAAGAAAAAATACTTTTGGGAGAAGTAGTTAAGACACTGAAGTAGCTGACAAATAATGGGACTATATCTGCAGAGCTGTAGACATTAACAGTCATAAACTTCCCATTTGTGATTAAAAAAAAAATCCAGAGAAAGAGATGACATATCCCAATAGTCCCTGCAGTGCCACAGAATAAGCTTCTGAATTCCACTAAGGAGAACCCAAACTAGCTCATGAGTAGATAAGCTGATTTGTAGGTCAGTCCTCCGAGTAAGCAAGAAGGCTCCTGTAAATTAACAGTGCGAATAAACAGTCTCAAGGAGATGTCTTTCATTTAGAGAATTCTATGATCATGTGAGAGAAATACACAAAAATGCAGAAGATGCTACAGTGGTCATAATATTAAAGATCATAAAATGAATTTCAGTAACAAATTAAATAGTACAAAATGAGAAAATACTCTTCATCTCAGCAACTGAAATGAGCTTCAGGAGATCAAGTTTATCTCCTTAGAGAAGGTCAACCATATTCAGTTCATTTGCTAAGTGCTTAGATATTGTAGAAAATATATACAAAGCTCAGTATAACTGCGATAATTCTACTGATGGAGATCGAAGAAAATACTGCAGCGTTATCACTGAACACATCACTTGCAGAAGAAAAAAGAATAATCTCAGCTTGTTTGCTTTGCATCTGTGTTTTCAAAGACAGTAACATGGTATCACAGTTTCTGATTTCATACCAACAAAATCTACTTTGCAGAAGTATTACATGAAAATTTCAAAAGGCCTGAGAAACACGATTCCAAGCTGTGCTGACCTTCACAACATCAAGAATGTTTTTTGTTTTTTTTTTTTTTTTTTTTTTTTTTTTTTTTTAATTTGGTAGACTAATCCAGTGAAGCTAGAAAGATCTGTCTGCTTTTTTCCATTTGCTAAATGATTCGATAATCTCCAAAATGCACTGTCTACAGCTGGCTCAATTTTAAAAATTAAAGCACAGAGCTGGGAGATTAAATGATACCAAGTTTTTCCTAACTAACATATAGTTCCTGTGCTAAAAGCTATTTGGACAATTGTAGTTAAAAATCTTGTCACCAAGGTTGTTTCTACCAACTTACAGATGAGTTTGATGACTTCAAAAGAAAAAACGTCCAATACACCAAAAACTTGCTGGAAAGACCACATACATCTGCTGGTGCTGGAGGCTCTTCTGCCATTATACCATTGCCTGTCCTTTGCAAACTTTGCCAACATGGTAACCCCATTGAAACACCACCAAAACAAAAAATCTTTACATGGAAGAAAACCCTCATGTGGTAAGCACTCCTAACAGGACACAAATAGCATTCCTATTAAAACAGAAGTCTAAAAAAGCTTTGCAAGCATCCACATATGGCAAAAAGTTTTTTATGGAGAATCATGCCTTCATGAGTGTGTGAAGACAAGTGTTGAAAAATTGTTCTCAACACAAAACAAGCAGAAAAATACATTATATCAAAGATATAAGTGGTTGAGGCACCATCCCTGGAGGTATTGAAAAGACGGGTGGACATAGTGCTTATAGACATAGTTTAGTGGTGGTTTTTTATCAGAGTTAGGTTGATGGCTTGAATAGATGATCTTAAAGGTCCCTTCCAACCTAGACAATTCTATGATTCTAAGATGGAAAAAAAAAATAATGTCCAGTTAAGGGAGTCCAAGACAGAACAGAACTATTTTATTAAATCAGGAACAACATCAGACCATGGGCTGTAGTCCGGTATTAAAGCTGAGGAAAGTGCATACCATTCTGAAGGTCAGATAAGATCATCCTCATGAGCTGCATCATTAGGCTGAAGTGTTATTGATGGAGCACGTGAGAAAGAAAGAGAATGGCTGTTAAATCACTTGTAGAATCAGTACACTGAGAAAAGATGGCAAGAAATGGTTTTATTTTGCACAAGTATAGAACAACATAAATGTCTTTTGACACTTTTGAACAAAGTTCCTTAAATCTCAAGGTACATCCAAGTGTCTTAATCAATGATAACTGAACAAGCGATAATAAGACAGGTAAACATACCTCCTAACAATGTTGCTCAAATAAATAAAAGCAGAATATTTCTGAACCATCAATATTATTAGCAGATGCTCTCTTTTCAGTCTACTTTTCAAGCAATGTCATCACCAACTAACTTAAAAAGATCACATTTTTCTACAACTAAGTACCTTCTTTCAGACTCTTACCTGGAAAACAGGCAAACTGAATGGCTGTTTTTGAAGGGGAGCAGTAGATGTGTCTGCTCATGCAGTACTGACTAAAGACTGAGACAGCAAATCTTGCACAGACAGAAGATAAGAGATCTAACAGTACACTGGAATTTCGTTTGCTCTGCAGACAAAATAGCAAGGTTGCTTGGAGCTAATCCAATAAACTGTTTTCCAACAGTAATCCAACAATTATTAACAGGAAGGATTCAAGAAATGTTGAAAAACTCTTAGATAAAAAAAAAAAAAAGAAAAAGAAGCCAAGTCGAAGATTTCAAAGTTCATTCATTTTCAACACTCTCATTAAATGCCTGAATTTCCAGAACCTTTCTGACATTACTTAACCTTTAAAATGAAGGCTTAATCATAAAAAACACTCTCATAAAACACGAATAAGATCCAACGTTATCCTCAATCGAGGAATGTCGACATTAAGCACTTTAACTTCCACTCTTTCCCCAGGACCTAACCCCAGGCTTCTTCTCTTCTTCACTTTAGAAAGTTTTGATTCTGTTATGTTTCGCACTGGAATCAAACCTGCTTTTCCCACACCAATATCAACAAAAACTCCAAACGGTGTTGCATTTTCAACTTTTCCAGTCAGAACAGTACCAACACTTAAGTCTTCAAAGCAGACTATGCTTCTCTTGAAGTCAGGTTTATCAAAATCTGTTGTAAGACACAAGAAACAAAAATAAGACACTGGAGAAAATGTTTGCATTATTTTCCAAGGATTTTTTCTACCTGATTATTTCTAATTAAGAAGTTATCCCAAGGTAGCTCTAAGGTCTCAAATACTGCTTCATTACATTTTCAAAATAAAGACCCATCTATGATAAACAACTGATTTCTTGTATTTTATGAATTGTTTTAAAAAACTACAATTAATAGAGTAATAAGGGTAGCGAAGTCCATAGTATGAAACTACCACAAGGGGATCAGAAGCGTGTAGTATATTAGGCAGTGACTGAAAGATTCTTTAAATTTTCTTGGAGCTAGGGAGAAAAGACTTGAGGTGACTCTTACCTGAGCTACATAAATTACACATAAAAATCTATTCCTATATAAATTTGTATACAGGAAGGTGAATACTCAGTCTTGTCACATACTAAACAGGAAAGTCAACAATGCATTGTTCTTGGGCTTGCTGTTCACCTGCACCATGACATCACACGACCAACTGCTTCCCACAACATCACACAATTATATATAAAGTTCACATTCTGCATTCAAGGGCACAGATAGATCTTTTAAGCTCTTTTTTGTTACTTGCTTACCACTTTCTGCTCCTGCAGTGGCCATTGCAACAACATCCTTTTCAACCTTTTCCTACTGCTCTTTTACCTTTTCCAGGATATCACAGGACATCACTGAACCAGGATTGCAAGAATTTTCATATCTTTGCCTTCGAGAAAATACACTCTGAACAAGTTTATAGCTAAAATACACTGGAAATCAGTCACTCTGTAACTTCACCAGGCTCTGGATCAAACCCAAATCGAGTATACAAGCTGGCAAATGCAGCTATAGGCTTTGAATGACATCAAATTTTCTACTGAAGAAATGTAGCTAATTGCTCAAGTCCAAAATGGTTAACCCTTTCATAATGTTATACTATGCAGTGGCATTTCAATGAAAAAAGCAACTAAACAGCCATTCAGGGCAACGAGCACAAAAAAATTCAGGGGAATGATGAAAATATTTTTAAATGTTTGCAAACCTGTTTTTTTTTTCCCCCATCCTGGCAGATTCATTACAGTTACCCGATTAGCTGTTCAGCTTTAAAAGACAATTTCTTGCCTTGCAAGTCCTTGGCTAAAAAAAGATTTCTAAAATAATACCATTATAATATTCTATTATTTCTCTTTTCCTATAAAATTCTTTCCACTTTCCTTTATACTAAAATCATTCAGGAAAAATAAACACCATAGAATTTCAATTAAATTTTAGAGGATACACAGAAAAGCTACTCTTTGTAATTCCCTAATGCCACATCTCTACTGTTGGGAACAACAAGGGAATTTAATATTTTGGAATCAAGGTTGAGTAAAATCCATTCAACCTGCCTCAGCCCTGCTAGATGTGATGCATTTCCTCAGTGACAGTCACTAGCAGGATTACAAAGACAATAAATTACAGATATACAAGGTTCCTAGGCTGCCTACTCCAGTCATAGTCTATCTATAGTAATACTGAGTGTACTGGGTCAGCAGAGCATGAGTATTTCCACTGAAGATTCTCTTGCTTTTATATCTTCATATGTTAATAGTCTATCCTACTGTAATGTAGATGTGAGATCACCAGAGCAAATGGAGACACAGACAATACAGATTTTCAAGATCACTAGTGGGAAATATTTATAAGCCTGCAAGGTAACTACTAATGAACCCCAAAAGGGGGGACAGAAACACTTTTAAAAGCATAAGTTTATTATTTATTATTACAAGCCTGCATCTTTGCTGCCTACCTTTATCTCTTGCTGTCATAAGAGAACCCAGCTGTAAGTTTCATTAAACAACAGCATCTCCAGATGTTTTATTTCATTGCTTACCTCATCTTTCTTCCCCTCCACCTCAAACTGTTCAGCACCACTGCAAAGTTTTAAGTCATGAGCCATGTGCTCCAATTACACTTGTTCCAGGAACTACTGCAATAAAAGAGCAGAACTACACACTACTACACTACTGCTCCACAGACCTTTATTACTACTGTTTCAGCTTGGTCTGAACATTCCCCTCCGTGATGGAGGGCCAACACAGATTTAATCAGTATAGAGTCAACATATTGAAACTATTTCATTTGTTAACAGCCATACAACTCCCCTTCCTATGGCTGAAAATGCCATGATTTAAGACAGGATTCACACTCCTTACCAACTGGCTGGAAAGAAACATCTGACTGATATAGACTTTACCTTGCCTGAAAAAAGAAGTGGAGTTACATGTCCATGACAATCTACCACCGAGTTTAGAAGAAGAAAAAGTGCTGGTTTAAAACTGGTAAGTAGAACAATCAAACTGAGATTACACCCTTCAAACAAAGGTTTACCTGTTCGGATGTCAAAGCCTTCAGGCTGAGTCAGACCATCAATAATCAGCTGCAGCGTGTGCACCGTCGTATTTAGCCTCTTGGCTGTGCCTTCCAGTCCTTCCTTTTGAATTACTGCATTTACTTTTTGCTGCATATCTGGTTTTCCTATGTCATTCGCATTTCCTCCAATGAAAGATAAAAACCTGGGAGGTTAAAGCAAAGATGAAGAGAGAGATTTGTAACATCATTTAGTGGGAAGTGAACCTTCATTATATTTAGGATTTTTAATTACTTTTGGATTGATGCATAAACAAAGCAACTGATAAAAAATACAAACAGTGAGCAGTTTTCCAAGTGTGTTTCCTTTCAACTCATCACCGATCAGACACATACATGGAAACTTAGAGTCTATCTGTATACCTGTATCTCCTGGAGTAGATTACAAAACTAGAAGCAAAATTTCACCATGTAAATCACTTCTCAGACCAATGATTTCATCTCATGCTAAAATCGAATCTGGTTATGACAAAGATGACTTTTAGCATGAAACTTCCCTGGAAATACGTGAGAGTCCTATAATACTGACATTTTTATTGTCATTCTCATTCAAATTAAGATGAATGGCAATTTAGTAAAGCAACAATTAACATTTAAAATATTAAATTATTATGAAAAATCTTTATCCAAATTTAAGAAAACCTTTACATAAAATACTTCTCTTGTCTATGAACTTCATGATTAAGATCAGCTTTTTAGAAATTAAGAAATTATCGTCATAGTTACACAACACAAACACCCTTATCCTTCCCTATTGCCACACAAATTGCAGATTAAGACTTTAAAATAAATGTGTCTTGATTTCTGATCTCATTTTTCTAAATAAAAGAAGAAAACCAAAGCATGCTTACTGCGGTTTTTAGTTCAGCAATGTTGGGACATATGCTGAGAAGCGCAGAGAATAGATGAGAAGAATTCACATGTAGACCCTACTCATTATTATCACCAGTGATGCCTTAGGCAATGTTTATTTATCACTGCATAAATGTCCTTATTTTACTGAAGGACTTAAAAATGTGAAACAAGTCTTCAATAGCTATAAACCAATGAAAATGAGGATGCAGATCATAGAAGCTGAACCACATTGTACTAAATAAAGCAACTTGTCCTCTCCTCTGTAGACTTCAGTTATCTGTCCTGCTTTGCACTTTACCATGATTACTCTCCTACTCTGTTTTATCATGTTCCTTATTGTTGGAGTGAGGCACGTGGGCGTTTGCGTGTTTTCCATCACAGCAAACAGGTAGAATTATTGCCCCTCTCCTCCAGAGCCCGAGTAAAAGTTCCTTCCAAATTCCTAGAAGAGATCCCTTCTTCCTGTCCTTACCCTACTTCACAACAGGTGTCAAGTACAAGTCCCAAAAGAAGTGCTGACCAAAAGGTTCATGTCCTGAGCTTGGAACCGGTGGGAGACATTCCAGCTCCATAAGAAAGCAACAGCCCCCAGTACACAACTTCCCTCTCCCCCTCAAAAATACATGCTGTGCTTTTATCAAAAAGTATTTCTTTTGGCAGGAGACACAGTGGGGTTTTTTTTTCGGTTTGTTATTTTCTTTTTTTTCTTTTTTAACCTGAGGAACCCAACTGACATTATTTCAGGTGGTGAGTGATAGGATTAAATGCATTGAAATGCAAAATTATATTTCTTTTTTGAAAAAATATAAATTGAAGGAACATAATTAAAGTAATATCTGACTTTAGTAAAGCACAAGATTAATCTTTGAGCACAAGGGCAAATCTTCACTCTGAAATGTCCACTGATTTCACCAAAAGAGGACATCCATTGAAACTGACTGTCAGGACTTTTTTACTGAATTCAAATGCAAACACGACGATTTAAATGTAGTGTTAGCTTAAGCACGTATAACTGCACTTAGGAGCGACAGATATAATTTTCACGTTAATCTTCTTAACGTATATAGATATTTCATATAGCAATGTATGAAAAAATTAATAAAGATTCAGTTGATGACATGCTGTTGTCAAGATTTAGTGAATTTTGTTTTGATTGAATGCATTTCAACTTTTGGCGTTACTTTTCAAAGTAGTTTGAGGTGGTTTTGGAAACAAAATAAATATCACAGATCTCCCGGGGTACTGGCGGCTGCGAACGCTGTTGGATGGACAATGCTCCACCAGAGCAGTAGTGACAGGCGGCAGCTGCCCCAGCTTTGACTGACGTGCCAGATGTAACGCCACAAACCCCACCAGCCTCATGACTCAACCTTCTAAATAATGTATGCTTTACCGCCCACCCCTATAAACAAGTTTGCTGACATTCATCTACTTGGCTTTATTTCACTCCAAATGGAAATTCGGTCCGAGTACCCCCAAGTAACATTTTTTCACCCTTAGGATTTCGCAGAAGCGTGTTCGCTTTGTAAACAGGTAACAGGGTGGGTTTCCCTCTTAATGAGTGCAACCACATGGAGCAGCCACCAATGTATTAAAAATACCAAAAGCCAGTTATGTACAAAACTGCCGACCGTGTGGATAATGCAATCAGAACGCCTGGTGCTACGTGCAGGCTGCTGGAAAGAAAACAGGACACAACCCAGGTGCCTGAGCCCTCAATTACTACTCATGAAAGTTATTTTGCTCCCTTTCCTCTGCCTCCCCCACCCTCCGGAAATACCAACGGAAGTATTTATCCGATATTAAAAAGGATTCCTCATCTAGACAAGGGTGGTAAGTTTGGTCCCTACATTATCAATTACAGTTGTTTAAATAACTTATTAACATGGTAACTGCTCAGAATAAAATTTTTGCCTCCACCTAAAGATGATGCTTAAATATATGCCCAAGTCTAAGCATGTAAAAAAGTCCCACCAACCTCAGAAGAATTACTAATGTTGTAAAAATGAGGCATTTGGCTAAGAATATTTCAGAATTATGACATATATTAGAGGCAGAAAAGAGCACTGTAACAACGCACATACACACAAAAGAAATAATCTTGAACAGAAACAATATATTTCTATTTTGGAAATTCTCACCTTTTTAGGTTAGGTTTTGGTAACACTCACGTACTAAAATATTTCCAAATAAAAGCAATTTCTTAGTGGCTACAGGTGTATAGTCTAGTTACAGATCTAGTTATATATTTACTGTATCATTTTCACTCAAATGAACACAGCCTGAGGGCACTTAGAATAAAAAAATCAATATAAGCACAAATCTCTGACTGAACAGTGGCACATTATATTGATTATTTCTATTTTTAAACGTCATTGCTAAGAACAAAGTTAAATGTTTCCTTATTAAAAAAAAAGCAACCCAACAACTTCCTTCAAGAGTTATTTCAAGGTCAGAAAAAACCACGGATATAGTTGGTAATAAGACTGGGATATGGCTTCAGGGAAGGGGGAGGAAAGAGGTTTCCCTTAATTTACATATTACACATTTTCCCTGTCCCTTAATTTACGTATTACACATTACATATTCACACATTTTGATCTTCATAATGTTAAACTATCTCACTACAGTTTATGAAATATCTCACCCAATTTGTAAATGACAGTTCCAGCTGCACAACACTGGAAACGTGAATTATCTGTGCAAAAATGAAAGCCCTGCAATTAGTTTCCTGGCTACATACATGAACTAAATAACCTGTTGCAGTAGTTCAAGTGCTAAGTTTATCTACGAGAAAGATAAAACCTAAAGAAAAGTTAACAGAAATGGAAATGGGAAAGTTTTTTTTGAAGTGGGGTCATTCTTAGAAGATACGCTATCCTAATTGCCTCAAATGTTGAGCACCTGAGTGGCAAACTTTCTCTTCAAGGCACATCAACTCAGACAAAAGCTGCCAGAGTCTTAGGAGAGTCTTTCAGCATGGGGTGAGATTCAGCTGGTTTAGAGACTTTGCGTTTTATGATTCTGAGATTTAGAGGATACTCAGAAACCTCTGCAACCACCTTAGTTTCAAAAGCAATCTTTGCAGTCTTTACAGGACTGGTCTCTTTACAGAGAATGGTCATAGCTAAATCACTGATGTTTTTATTTAATACATAATTTCATCCATCTTATCCAGATAAAGAAAGAAAAGTAGCATAAATGTAACAAATAACCACATCATGTTCACTTAACATACACATCTGCACAAAATTATAGCACAGCCCTTGCAATGCTTAAAAGATAATGCAAATTTCAGTGGAATGCAAAAAACAGTCAGAAAAGAATAAAAATATTACCAAGGCAAGCCTTCAGTAAATTTTAAGAAGTTACTTTAAACCCCCCAAAAAGCTTCTTATGATGTGCAGGAGTTCTAAAGCTTTGCAAGGGTTTTAGTCACAGTCATTTCTGTTTTATGTAATCATTTCCAGCAACACAACTTAAGAGCTGGGAGTACTGGATTCATTACATTAAAGCAACATGATATGCCATTACATCTTGTCACAGTGCACACATGAATTAATGGTAATGCAACATAATCACTCTGAAAACAAAACAACTTTGCATTAGCATGTGCTTTGTTAGGTAAAATGTACATTCATGACAGTAGCAAACTTCAATTATGCAGACTTTTATTTATGTTTTAGTAATGTTTTGAAATGCAAAAGCATTATTTGCATAATGCAGATGTTGACTGTTCCTGTTCTCACCAGTGATATGGATCCTCAGTTTTCAACTACTGATGCAGATTACATATCAAACAATATTTGTACATTACTCTCTGTAATTAGTTGCTGGACACAGAATGTTAAAGTTTCAAATATATTTCCAACTACTTATGTGGTTTAGCCAGATAAGGATATGTTTTTCCTCAAGTACATAAATTATTAATATTTTAGATTACCTGACTGCGTGCAGAAGACCAGAAAGCACTCAGATAGTTTATGACATTTTGAACGTAAATATATAAGAAACAATGAGCTTCTAGATGAGAAAAGCAATTCAGACATGGTTACATTACAGCACAGCCCCTTTGCTGCCACACCACTAGGCATGCTGTTGTTAGCTGTTTTCATGACTACCAATATATCACATAGCTGAACTGTAACCTGAGATACAAAATAGTGAAACATGATTAGTTATCCACAAAGAATTAGTACTACAGTTAAAGGAGATCATTACGTAAAAAAGTTAATAATTTTTTTCTGCAGTTTTTTTTTTTTTTTCTAAAAATCCAACCAGTAGGAAGTTA